TAATGGTTAAAAAAAGGTTTTGAGATTAACGTTTTAGACGTACTTCGTCAAAATAAGAACTATCCGGCAAGCGTAGAATGTGGAAACATTAAAAATAATATAAATTATACAGTGTAGTGTTTTTGTATAATTTATGTTATTTTTAATGTTTCCACATTCTACGCTTGCCGGATAGTTCTTATTTTGACGAAGTAAGTCTAAAACGTTAATCTCAAAACCTTTTTTTCAACCATTAACTTCGAGTTTTTTATCGAAGTTAACTAATTTACTTCATCTAAAAAACGTTTTCTTGGCTTATTTCAGATGCCTCTGAAGATGCTATTTTAAGCGAAAGTACTTGGGCTAGATTTAATTAACTTGTGCTCGATAATAGCCTTATTTTCAAAGTTTAAATAATAAACAGACGTAGACTTCTTGAATACTCACAACAAATGACGTAATGACGTAGCGACAGATGGCGTTACAGCGCCACTGTAATAGATAATTTTAAATAGGATCTTATGGCAAGTGATACCTTGTTTGGAAGGAATTGAAAAACCATACTAATTTTATTTGAATTGAAGCTCATTTTGGTTAATAAATTAAATAAATACTAAAATTGTAGTTTAGGATTTAATTAATTATTATCTCCACCTCTGATTACTTGTCAAAAAGTTGACGTTTTTTAATTCTCTAATTGTTTATACGTCAACGTCAACTCTTTGACAATTAACCAGAGGCGAACTTTACAATGTTTATTAATTAAATGCGAAACTACAATTATTTTAGTATACCTATTCAATCATACTAATTTTGTTTGGATTTAAGATGATTTTAACGAATAAATTAAATAAATATTAAAATTCTAGTTTGGCTTTTAATTAAAAAAAATTCTCCGCCTTTAATTATTTGTTAAAAAAGTTGACGTTTGTCAATTCTCTAGTTGTTTTTAGTTGGCAAAAGCGTTTATACCTCAATATTTAGTTTCTGTTTTTGCTTAGTTTAGTCAATTCTCTAGTTATTTTTAGTTTGCAAATGTCTTTATCACTGAATACTTACTTATTAAATATGTCCAATAAAATTAACCAACAGCCCGATTACATAAAAACAATTTGCTTTAGTGGCGAAAGTACTTTTTCTCTCAATGGAAATGTTAACACACACAATATGAGGTATTGGAGTGACACAAATTCTCACGTCTTTCGTGAAACACATACTCAATTTTCAAAAAAATAAGTATTTTGCAGGTATTTTGCGAAATCACATAGTTGGGCCTGTTTTTCTTAATACTAACTTAATCGTGAAGCGTATCTGGAGATGTTACAGTATGCAATTGAACCGTTAATACTTGAGATTTGGAGGATAATCCAGATGAATTCGGCAACTTGGAAATAACGTTTTAACAAGATGGTGCTCCTGCACACCATTATGGTGCACTAAGATGTTACGTAAATAAGGAATATCGTGGTAGATGTATTGGAAGACGAAGTGCGATAGAATGACCAGCTCGGTAACCGGACCTCACACCATAAGATTTTTTTTCTTTGGGGATACTTGAAATTTAAAGTTTACGCTACAGCACCCGACAATATTGACATTTTAAATCAACGAATTGTTTAGGAATGTAGACAATTTCCACTGACACATTTAAACGAGTACGGCAAGAGTTTAGAAATAAGATGCATTACTGCCAGGAAGTAGATGGAGCACATTTTAAACACTTACTATAAGAACTGGTTGTTAAATATTTATTAATAAAATGAAAAGCTACAATTTTAGTATTTATTTAATTTTTTCATCAAAATGAGCTTAAACTCAAACAAAATTATTATGATGAATAGGTATTTTCATTACCTTTCAAATGAGGTATCACTTGCCATAAGGCCCTATTTAAAATTATGTGTCACAGTGGCGCTGTAACGGCATTTGCCACTTTTACATAGGTCACCTGTTATAACTAGTTGAGAAGCCTACATCTGTTTATTTCCTCCCTCCAAATCTCAGTATTATAAAAATAACGGTTCCAAAGATACAAGGAGGGAACGGACTAGCACTGTATACAGCTTTTTGAAGGTTTTAAAAGGTATAGCTGATGACAAACTTTTTTACTTAATTTTGATTTTGTTCGTATCAGTGGCGTGCCGTGACATTAGAAGAAAGGGATGCAAATTAAAGGAAATGATAAAAAGACTTACTAACCTTTTTACTTGTAGTGCAGCTCTATTCTTCTATCAACCTTGGCAAACTCGTTTATCACAGACTCATAAAAACTGGGATTTTCAGACATTTCTTTAATAAGTTCTTTTTCAATTGATAAAATTGCTAAGTTAGCTAGCCTCTCCTCACTTGTGGAATTTCTGACAAAGTTTTTAATACGCTTTAGTACAGAAAAACTTCGTTCTACAGACGCACTTGTGGCAGGTATTGTCATCACTAAGTCACATAATTTTGAAACCTCACTATATGCTTCATCCAGTTCAGTTTGTTTAAGAAATGTCAGCATTTTAGAACTAGTATCAGTTTGTATAGAGTGTTGAGAAGCATACAAAACGCACAGTTGGGAATGCAGGGAAAGAAGGTCAAAAAAGTTTGCATAATGTTTTTTTAGACAACTAAAAGCCTCATCCGGGAAACTACAGTCGGCATATTTATTGAAGTTGCATAACTCCACAAATCTTAACTCACAAAGGTTTTTAAATCTTTCTTTAAGCTGCTGGGAAATATTATCTATTATTTCACAAAAAAGTCGATTATAAGATATTTTTGTGTCGCCTACATCGTCAATTCTAATGCGTTTTCTCTTGGGTTCCATCTCTTCTAGATCGCAAGTTTTTTGCCACATGATATCAAATTGCTCCCTCTGTCTGTTGATTTGGACTTCGAATTCGTTAATTTTTTTAATACAAAATCCGATATCATTTGATTTAGTCTGCAATACATCAAATAAAATGTCTGTATAAGGAAATATTTCAGAAAATACTTGAAGCAAAAAATTAAAATCAAAATCTCGTTTGACTAATTCCAAATAACCTCTTGAGGAATTCACAGTTTCAGGGTCCCAATGGTCTTTATGCTCCAAAATGCTTTCAAATAACTCTATTAGGGATTGCCGATATTGGGAAACTGTTTTTACTAACCTCCCATTGTAATTCCATCTGGTGGGAGCTGCTCGAGGGAACCTTTTCTGAAGAATGACATCTAAAGCATGTGTTCTTTTGGAAGATTTAGAAAAAAAAGCAGCCATTCCACTCAAGGTTTGGAAAAATACCTTGCAAGTCTTATTGAGTGCGACTGATTGCGCTAGAACTAAATTTAGCCTGTGTGCAAAGCAGTGCACAAAAATTGCATTTTGAAACCTCTCCTTAACTTTGGTTTGAAGTCCTCCGAGGTGCCCAGCCATTACGGCAGCTCCATCATAACTTTGAGCGACAAGTTTGGAACCACAGTCCAGTTCCTCAACTATATTACAGACATGTCTATATATACCTTCTGCCGATCTATCTGCAGTTATATCCAAAAATCCCCAAAATCGTTCTTGTATTTCACCATTATTTTTGATGTAACGCAGAACAACCGACAATTGACTCAAATTCACGATATCTGTAGTTTCATCTAGAACAATGGAAATAAATTGTGCTTCTTTTATTTCTTCTTTGATTTTTTGCAGAACAATATCTGCCACAGACTTGATCAAATCGTTTTGTATCCTATTCGAGGTACCTCGAAATACAGTAGATTGATCTAAATGACTTTTTAATAGTTCGTCATATTCAGATAAAAAATTTGCTAAATCCACAAAATTTCCCCTATTTACAGATTCATAATTTTCATTATGCCCTCGGAAACTAAGTTCATGTTCTCCAAGGAAACATGTAATATGAATCAGTCTTTTTAATATTTCACGATTTTTTTTTACTTGCTCATTATGCATGCGGTGACTAACTTTAAGCTGATTATCTAGAGCGTGATCAATTCGGGTTTTCCCAAAAGTCTTTTCTTTTATAACTGCTTCTAAATGCGTTTTACTTAAAATGTGTCGTTTTATAGATTTGTGCAAATTATTTAAATCTGAGTAACCCGTACTATTCCACACGTTTTTATCACTTATATTAAATAATATACACGGAAAACAAAATAATCTTGAGAGAGTTTTACAACCTGTCAACCACTTAAAGGAATCGTATATATTTTTGTTAAAATAACGTGTACATTTCGTCGACTTGGTTTGAATTTCCAGTAATGGTTTTGGCCTGCCTACAGATATAATATTACACTTTTCTTGAAAGTTAAATTTTGAAAATCCACATTTTAATAAATCGCACACAATACAACACTGTCCATTACTGTTTTCCTGACAGGATTGAGAACTTGTACACGGTTGGGGTAAATCTGAATTCATTTCGGAAAAACTACTTAAATTATTATATATACATATACGTAAAATGAAATAAAATATATACATATACGTACAATAAAATTAAAACACGTGAAACACAGCAAAAACTACTCGAATTAATATAAATGCAAAACACGCACTGTATTACAATGTCATATGCGAACTACTCCAGTCGCCTTGCCTATGGTAAGCAAATATAATATTGCATCCAGTATTCTTAAAAATGCCGGTCCAAATCTATAAAAATTGGGCCCGGGCCCCGAGAGTCGACGTGTGCTGCCGAATTGAAGTGATGCTAGCGCGATCAGAATGGTATTGGCTGGTATTGGTTCCAGAAAATGCATCCAAAGATATATTACAATCACCGTGCGCTGTTGCCAGTAATTGCATTCGTAAAGTAATTTAATGATTTCTTGAAAAACGTATTTTATCTTTAAATATTTGAATTATTACAAATCAATTTAAAATATGATTATGTAGTTTTAATTACTGATAATAAATTTTAGATTTTAGGGGATGCAATGCATCCCTTGCATCCATGCACCGCACGCCCCTGGTTCGTATATTATATTGCATATATTTTTTTAATATAAAATAGTCTTATACTTGTATTTTGAAATTGTAGCTGGAACTTTATGGTCAATGTTATGGAGGAGAAATAACCGTTCATGACCTACCTGCTTCTAATCCATCAGAATGGAATATTAACCAAAACGAAATCATATATCACTTAGACTTCGGATACTCTCCATTAAGAATAATGAATAAAAAATACTTTTCAATTAAAAACAATTCAAAAACATGCACTTATCGATTTAACTTCAGAAGCGATGTTCCAAATCTATTTTTTCTGCCTAGTATAGGACACTTAAAAGCATCGTCTAGAAAAGAAATTCTGGTAATGGTATCATCGAAAGAACCAAAAACTTTACATAAGGTAAAACAGAATTTGATTTAATTGCCCTTTTTTATTTACCTACTTCACATTTTTAACTCTTATTTTAAATAAGAAAATAATATATACCAGGTGGGATGATTATGTAAAACTAATATATAGTGAATTTCAAGAACAAGAAAAGTTATCGCTTTTTGGCGAAAAAGACAATGAATGATCAATTTCAGGTATCCTTTCTTCACATTCTCTGATTCTGCGATAAATTGTCGATTTGCTTATGTTTGGATCTCGATAAATATTAACAATATCTTGCTTCGACATTCGCCCAACCATATTATAAACAACTCGACGAATATCAATTTTATAAGACATTTTGCAGAACGCAAACCAAAATATTCTGCTTTGTTTATTAAATGTTAATAACTGATGACATTTCAATTCCATCTTCCATGGCCTTCTTTGTTAAATGTATTTTGCTTCTCAGACAGACCAGGTGAAATTTTTCCCAAAACTTTAGGACCATACCTTATATGCAATGCTTTCCATTATATGTTGCAGATTTTGACATAATACTTTTTTCATAAAACACCAATAAATTCGATGGATATATGTGGTTTTTAAAATGACTGCTATTTTTCAAAATTTTCCAAAATAAAACTACGTTTTCGCAATGTTAACTTAATTATATATTTCACATATTAAACTTTGAATAGAACAATAAAAAGAAATTGTCGTAAACAGTAATGTATACAAAAAATAATAATTTTACTAACTAATCATCTTTGTACTCTACTGCTGTTGTATGCCAGTCAAAAATGTCGGAATAAAACTCTTCACAATCTTCTACTTCTTCATTTTCTACGTAAGGCGTAAATTTATCATTTTCTTGTCTTTAATACAATCTTTTTGGTCAGGGTAAGCTCTACAGGAAAACCAGAAACAGTATCTGTTATTGAAAGTTTAAACGAATGTTGTGTAAAACCGTCTATGAGATCACGTGCGATCACATATCCTTTTGTTGTATTAGAGTAAGAAAAGTGATTGAACGATGCAATGGTGAATGCTTGCTTTTGATCTTTTGGTACATATCTGCTAGAAGTTTCCACGAATAAGCACGTTTTTTATAATATTTAGGTCACCATCGTTTAAAATCCTTTATGAGGCTGTTATTTTCAATCAAAAATACGGTAAAATTATTTTTCTGACTTAATGACAATACTAGTTCCACATACTCAAATGATGTATAAATTCGGTCAAATTTCTTTAATTTTCGCTTAATAACAGCAAAATTGCAGTCACAGTGCAGGCATATATAAATGTCCACGATAGAAAAATATTGATCCACAATGTGAAATATACCAAGTTGAACAAAAGCACAACACATTCTTACCGTAGTGTGGTTTTTGTTTTGACCCGGACATCCATCCATGAAAATATGAAGATGTTTTACCTCTTCAGATAGAATTATTATATTATTATTATATTATCTTATATACTAAAACGCTAAGCCATTTTCTGGTCCACCACTTTACTCAAAAACCATATTAGATAATTAAAATATTTTTTCGGAATATTATTAGTATTACGTATGAGATTGTCAAGATATACTTTTGGTACAAAAATTCACTTCCGGTTTTGAGATGACCGAAAGTTAAAATTTACTTTAAGTTTTAGACCCCACAATGTATATATGGATCGCAAGGTCACGTCGAGACGAATCTAAATATGTACTTCCGGTTGCGATCCGACACCGGAAGTGACTCGAAACGCGCATAAAACGTCAAGATAGAACAAATCTGACACCGGATTCGTGATCAGCATGCAAAATTAACTGCTAAATGATATCCATCTTATATACTAAAACGCTAAGCCCTTTTCTTGTCCACCAATTTACTCAAAAACCATATTAGATAATTAAAATATTTTTTTCGCAATATTATTAGTATTACGTATGAGATTGTCAAGATATACTTTTGGTACAAAAATTCACTTCCGGTTTTGAGATGACCGGAAGTTAAAATTTACTTTAAGTTTTAGACCCCACAATGTATACATGGATCGAAAGGTCTCGTCGAGACTAATCTAAATATGTACTTCCGGTTGCGATCCGACACCGGAAGTGACCTCGAAACGCGCATAAAACGTCAAGATAGAGCAAATCTGACACCGGATTCGTGATCAGCATGCAAAATTAACTGCTAAATGATATCCATGTCGACATTTGATAAACTAAAACTTTCATTCCGGTTTTGAGGTCGACTTCCGGTTTCGTTTTAATTAAAAAGTAAAAAGTAAAAGTTTACATAACTCCGGTGCCAAGCAAAAGTTTTCAGAAAATGGAGACATTGTAACAAAAAACATTGTTTTCGACAAAATATTTCGTAATATTTAATACACTTTTTACTTGCATTATTATTGATGAATGTTATATATATTCTTGCTTATATTGTTTGTATTGATCTCTTAATTTTTCTAGCAAAATAGAAATTTCATTTAAAAAACTCGATGTCGAGTTGGTCCGCTAGTATATAATATATTATTAGTATAGTCAAAAATAAATTTTACTTTTCTCAGAGTTATAAGTACATTGTGTATTAGAAGTATACAGGTATCTTTGTGTTTAACGATATATTGCTTTTGTTAAATTTTGCTTATTTAAACAAAAATGGAAGAACCTAGTACTAGCCGGGAGAGTAAATATTTGAAAAGTTCCCGCAAACAGTTAGGACTTGAAGCTAAAAAAAATAATATATAATATGTAGGAGTATGTGAGAAAAACATTGTCTCAGGTGGAGGCAAAAAGTCGTTGTGAATGTATGATAGCAGTATTGTCATCCACTACTTACATGATTTTTAGTCAAAAGCAAAGCTCGGGTGAAGTTCAGGTCCCACAGTCACATCTACGAGTACGAACACCAATTGAATTTAATGAACATAACAATTCAGAAATAAGACGTACAGTTTATTCTTTTTATTTTAATAAAGGAAATTTCCACTCTAGGCAAAATCATTTCTGCAATAAAAACTAATGATGTAATTTTCCAAATGAGTCATAAAACTTTACGTAAGCAGTTATATAAAGTGGAATTTTCTTATTCTACGTACAACAGGAATTTAGCAATGATAGAGAAACCTGAAATCATAACATGACATCGCAACTATCGGCGTAAAATGTCAAAGTTCTGTGAACAAAATAGAAATTTTTTTTTATTTAGACGAAACTTGGGTCAATGCTGGATCACAAGTAGTGGACAAGCTTTTGTTGAAGGTCTATCTTAAGGATTCCGAGGACCGACAGGTAAGGGCAACAACTCATAGTGACCTATATTGGAAGTGATAGCTGCTTTTTAAAAGACAGTGGTTTAATTTTTTATCAAAAAATACCGGTGATTAACATGGGAACATGAATGCAGATCGTTTCGAACAGTGGTTTCAATATGTATTCAACATCGCCCTAATCATATCGTTTACGTGATGGATGCAATGACTCGTTCCCTTGGTGTTGCTGTTTTAAGACTTCCACCATATAACTGCTAATATACTGATGTCAATTGAGCTATTCTGGGCACAAACAAAGGGTTATGTGGCACGTTATATTGTAACTTTTAAATTTGAAGATGTGAAGCGTATGGTAAATACAGCTATTGATGAGGTTACGCCATTAGCATGGCACAATGCTGTTTCCCATGTACGGAAGGTTGAAAAACAAATGTGGGGGTTAGATGTTCATGTTGATACTATAATCGAACCCGTAGTGATTACGTTAAGAGGCGACAACATCAGTGAAGGCTGATTTATAAACTTTGCGTTGGCGTTGGCGCTGGCGTTCGCCGTTGACCTTGGCGCTAGCTATCATACACTGCATTTATAAACTTTCGGTTTGCGTTGGCGTTAAAGATCACATCTTCATTCCTTGCCTTACATTTTTGATTTGGTATTATTAATTTTTGCTTGAAAATTAATACAATGGAAAATGCTCAGCCTTTGTTAGGTGCAGTGGCACTGATACTTTGTATTCGAGCAGCACTGAGCCTTCGAAATAAAAGACAACGTCGATACAAACTGAGGCCCATTAACCAGAAGAGAAAGACAAGAGGTAATTTTAATTATTATAAAAATATGAAAACTGGGATACCCAGCAGTTTTTTTAAATACACCAGGATACAGTTTCCAGTATTTGAAAAATTACTGCAAATGTTAAAACCAAAAATAAATGTAAACTGTCGCTCTGATGGAATTTCTGTTGAAGAAAGGCTTGTTATTATCTAAACTTTTTTACTTTATAAACACGTGGAAACATAAACAAATAATTTTGTTTGATTTGTTTGACAAACTTTGTCACTTTTTCGATATTGCTATTGACTGCGATGACAAAGATACAGTTTTATTTTATGTTCTGAGATGGATACTGCAACCACAGAAGGGTTTGTGTATTCTGTGCTACAACAGGCAACGGCAAAAGATAAAGTTGGTTCATCTTGAACGGAACCGAACGCCGACGCCAACGGCGAACGATGTTTATAAATGGATATACGAGTTTTCCATTTGACCATGTTGTAACGCGAGCGTCAGCGCCAGCGCCAACGCCAACGTAAAGTTTATAAATCAGCCTTGATAGTAAGAGTAATGATAATCTCCCTTAAATAGACATATTAAGCTGTGAAAATTATTAAATATAACTACTATTATAAGCAAAAAATATTACAATTTATTAATAGATTCTACAATAATATGATTTATTATTTTTTATGTAAGTCTGTCTTGATGATTTCCAGTGCCTTTATGTATATCTTTCCGAGCTAAGTTAAAATTATACAATCGATTCAAAAAAACTATGACAAAAATTAGACTTTTTTAAAATCACAGTATCAAAAATATTTAAAATTCGTTATTTCTCAAGCACCAAAGTTTTTCATTTTTTGGGCTCTATTGGCAGACTAAATAATTGAATATCATTCTGAAATAAAAAGTATATTACTAATTTGAGTATTTTACATCTTTAGATTTATAGTCGACTTCCGCCCATTCACTCATTCGAAACATTATTAATGTGAATGGTAACTTATTCTTTAAACTAGATCTTATGTATTATTTTTATGATTATAAGCAGTAATATAATATTCTACTGTTATAATGTTAAGTGACCGCAAGGAAACACATTTTCTTACGCGCCGCCAATTATTGAATTCAAAATTTTCTAGAATTTATGAAGAGCACGTGATTTCAGGTACATTTTACCACTTACGGCGCGTGATTTTTGATTTATATTTTCACTTAATATTTGCTAGACGTTAATAAAGTTTGCTTTTGCTGATATATTATGCATAAATCCGGCATTATTCAGAAATTCAAATTATGTAAATTAATCTGGATGATTTCCTTCTACGTACCTATAAACTTAAGATACTAAACAGATGGGCGAACCATTTTGAAGAACTGCTTAGCGGCAGTCACGAAGATGGCGAGATTGAGGATCCCATGTTTCAAATGAATGAAGATGATCGGCAGCCACTCCCCACCGAAGAAGAAATTAGAGAAGCCATCGCAACACTGAAAAATATTAAAGCTCCCGGTTCGGATAATTTCCCTGCCGAACTTTTCAAAAATGGCGGCGACCCCCTCATGAAACACATGCATAAACTGATAACTGCAATTTGGCAACAGAAATAAACACCCACAGACTGGAAGTTAGGTGTACTGTGCCCTATACACAAAAAGGGAGATATGATGGTGTGTGATAATTATAAAGGCATCACTCTACTCAATATGGCATATAAACTGTTGTCCAACGTATTGTACAAAAGACTCCTCCCGTACGCCGAACAAATAGTGGGAGGATATCAGTGCGGTTCCCGTCCTAATAAATCAAAAACGGACCAGATATTTACAGTTACAGTGAGGCAGATCCTTGAAAAAACCCTAGAGTTCGGCGTCGACACCCACCACATATTTGTTGACTTCAAAGCCGCATACGATTCCGTTAATAGAAATAAACTTCTACTTGCTATGGTAGAATTTCGCATTTCGTTTGATCTTGTCCGGTTAACTGAACTTACACTCACAGGTGCAGTGAGCATGGTAAAAATCCAAAACGTTCTCTCAAGACCCTTCCATTGCAAAAATGAATTAAGACAGGGTGATGGACTATCGTGTCTCTTATTTAACCTGGCATTAGAAAAGACAATTCGAGAGTCGCAGATTACTACGAATGGTACTATCTTTAACAAATCAGTACAAATTGTCGGATACGCAGATGACATAGACATCATAGGTAGGTCCACAGAATCTCTGACTGAAGCATTTCGGTCGTTAAGAGCATCTGCACACATAATGGGACTAAATATAAATGTTCAAAAGACCAAATATATGTGTTGCACTAGGTCAAGCAACCCGACACCTACACGAATAATAATTGATGACCTAGAACTGGAAGGTGTTGACACCTTCATATACTTAGGGTCGCTGCTAACCAAAGATAACAACGTCAGTGAAGAAATCAAAAGAAGAATAGCGTTCGCCAATAAGTGTTACTATGGCTTAAGAAGATAGATAATATCAAAAATGCCTAGAAAAATTTAAACTGACTGTAGACAAAACACTAATAAGACCAGTGCTAACATATGGTTCAGAAACTTGGACACTAACACAGAATGACCAAGAATTGCTCAAACGTTCTGAGCGAAAAATACTAAGGCGAATATATGGAGGTATAAAAGAACAAGGTTTGTAGCGCAGGTGTTACAATTTTGAGTTGTATAGAAGATTTGGAGAACCTGACGTTGTAAAATTCATTAAGGCAGCACGCATCAGATGGATAGGTCATGTAATCAGACGAGAGGAAGATGCCATAGTCAGAAAAGTTTTTGACCGAAGAGGGCCGATCGGACAACGAAGAAGAGGAAGACCGAGACTTAGGTACCAAGACAACCTAGAAAATGATTTGAAGTCTATCGAAATTAGAGCATGGAGAAGAGTTGCCAGAGACAGGGGCGAATGGAGGATTGTTCTGAAGAAGGGCTTTGGCTCATAAAGAGCTGTAACGCCACTGATGATGATGACCTATAAACTTAACAAAATTGTATTTTAAGTAATATAAGTTTTTTAATTAAGTATACTTACAACTGCTGCTGCTCTTCTGTCTGTTCCTACTCCAGTAATCAACAAAATTTTTAAACTCGCTTCTTCCTTTACTTTTTGTTTATTTCTGTAAAAAAAGTTTCACATAATTTAAACTTAATTCCTTTCATTAACACCTCATCTAGATTAGTCAGAATACTTTGCATATTTCACATTTTAAAACTCATTAACGTTATCCGTAATCTGGGTTGTTTTCCATTTGGTCTGTTCGACGTTTTCTTTCTAGGATTTTTTGCAATACAATTTCTTTCTGTGTGATAATAAGCAGGCCTATATTATTTTACTTTAATAAATACTTAATGTAATCCGAAAAAAAGTTTTCTGTTAAAAAATTCATAATATTTTTTGTAGATACCCATACAAATGGATTATGCATCAATTAGTTTTGTTGAATCTAGTGATAATGACATGAGTTGGGATAATAGACAAAGCATTTTTTCTTATGTTGAGACTAAACGATAAGCTATCTATCAATGAATCAGAAATAATTGATGACCATTATAAAAACTGTATGGAAGCCGCTATCGAATCGTTTTCACAGTACGTAGTCTAATCTATTTTTCAACTATATTTTAGTTTATTATATTTCTATATTTTAGAAGGAATATTGGAGAAAACATGGAAGCGTTTAAGGAACAAATAAAAACTGCACTAGATGTAAAAGAACCAAATATAATTATAAACTCAGAACAGCTACTTTTTGTCAATTTTTTAGTTTCATTCACTAGTGATTTTGCTTCTTATTCTTGTGAAACAAAAGAATTGGTATTTCCTGATACATATGTCAATAATGTAAGTATTAAGTTTTATTGTATTATTAATCGTTAACCAATAAAACAAGTTTTATTAGGAGTAACAATGATAAACCGAGGCACAAAAAGTCATTTTTACTCCGAATAAAACATATTATTTTTTTCAAACGTCGCAAATATTTTTGATGTTACCATGGGTTACTTCTATTTATTGTCGCTTTGATAGCAGATGTGGCTGCTAAGCTGTTTAAAAAAAGTTTTAGACAGGCCATTCATGTTCCGACTTGTGGGTACCACTTAGTAGGACTACTAGTTGGATGTTCGTCTCCACTCACGCTCCGACTTTCTATCCAACTAGCGGTCCAACTTCAGTTCTAGGTTGTTTTCACGATGGTGTACATCGCTTAACCAAAAAATGTATCGAATAAACACCACGCAAAATATAATATGTATTATGATATGTATGTTTAAAAATTAGGTTTCGTTTCTCTAGTTATTTGTCTAGGGCTGAACTAATTAATTTTTTCAACTTTTTATGACTTTTTAAGATGTAGGAAAAAATTATAGTTTTTAAAGATTTGTGTTGGTATAAAATCTATATTTTATTTGTTTTAAACTGGAGCTGGGATTTATTTTGTTATGTGTGTGTGTCGTATATTTTTAATAGGAATAATTTTTCGAGCAATTGAAAGTAATTTCCTTTAATTTTTTTTGTGAACTAGGGATATTTTGCTACAACTATGATTTAATTTTCATTGTTTGTTGATAATTCTTCCGTAGCCAACCCGAAGTATCGGAAATTTACCTGTATGGGAATGTCCGAAATACATCTACAGAAAGGAAAAATGATTTGCCCTAACAAAAAGGTAATTTTCGTGCAATTGAAAGTTTATTTTCTATTAAATATTCGCAAACTAGAGATCTTTGCGTAAAGTATTTCATAGAAATCTCATACGTAACAGGTGCCGATGGTCAACTGACTGACGAAATTTTCGATCCAACCTGTGATCCGACTTCCAACTTCACCATTCACGCTCCGACTTGAAAATTAATTGAAAACATTTGACAAACTTTTACCCATTTCGAAAATGGATCCAAAATTATAAGAAAATTCAACATTAAAGAAAATAAAAAATAAAAGTTAGATCTGCCTGAATGTTCTGACAAGGAACACAACCCTGCTTAGATTTTCAATCTCTCTATTCAATGGTGGCCACCAAATAATATCTAGGTTTTTATATTAATATCTAGGTTTGTATCGATAGATTTTGCTTACCTCAGGGTAAGAACATGGGGTAGGAAGTTAGGCAAACAAAATAATCGAAACTAGTGCGTACGCACTCAAGGGGTTGTTGGAGAGCTGGGTCGTGGATAAGTTGAATAAAATGGGTCGGATCGGGGTATCTAATAAATAAAAACAAAGGATATCTACATAAATCTCCTTGGTCAAAAACGAACAAGATATGGCAGATAAGGTTACCTCTAGCTTTTTCTATTTGGACACCGCTTCAAAGAAAACTTCCTGCTGAGAGAAAGAAAAATTTTTCTTCCCTAAAATCAAAAATACATACTAGGATTAGGAGACTTTTCTAAAAAAACACAAAATGGATCAGAGAAACAAATCAAACGTTTATTTTTATCTCAAACAAACAGTTATCAAAAATACAGATTACACAAGAAGCATACTATATCACATAATACAAATTAACAAAAACTTACGTGTTATTTGTTTGCATAAGAGATTGTTACAAAAATTTTGAAATGGTTCCTAGGTTATAATATGCCCAAATTAGATTATCAAAACTTATGTATATCCTTTTTATGAAAATCCTGTAGAATTTAACATTATATACGAAATATCTTTTATATATATTAATCAAATTAAAATTGTTTGACAACAACAATGGATTAGAGCAAAATATCATATGTCAACATATCATTTTAAGACAGAATAAATTATGACATTTTATTTTATATTATAACATAATATAAAACTTTAATTATTACAAATTCTTTCAATTTTTAATAAAAGCAATTATTACATATGTCTATATTACTTGGAAAATATAATATATTGAATTGTTACCTTAATTAACAAACTTTGAACTTAACTTTGAAACAAAACTTGCTAAATCTCTGGGATTGGAGCTGCAAGGACAAATTCTCAAACTCAAACACAGGAAACCATGTCCATACTCAGGAACGAAGATCTGACGTTAATGGGGTTGGATCAAGCAGGCAAACGACAACAAAGCTGGTGGGACATCCTATATATTAATCCTCAAAAATTCGATTTATCTCCGGTACACTATATAAATCTTCCGATGATTACTCTGTCTAAACTGCATTTACTGCAAAGAGTATTAAAATATTTACCGGTCTTAAGACATAACACAAAAAAATTAAATCGACTTTCGATTCAAAATTTATCCCTACATTCCACCTCGTCTAAATGATATAGCTTGACTCTACATCGTTCGGTTGATCTAGCTTGACTTCTCTTGCTTGACTCTCTTGCTTGACTGCCTTCAGTTTAAAATTTCAACGTAAATCCCAATTCTTTTCATCTCTCCGAAAAAGTTGCGCCTGCAAAACCTAAACAAACAATATTACCCCTCGCTTGTCCCTACGAACTACCACAAATCATCTTTATTTTTACCTGACAATGTAACAGAAAGTTGGAGATTTGTATGTAAGCACAGACAAAAACATCTATATTTACTTTTGGAATCGGTAGAAATACACGTATTATATTGATTATTTTAACCGGAATAATTTTCTACCTGACAACGTAACAGAAACAAAACATCTATATTTTTGCCTTATCTCGTCGAAAAAACTTGAAATATTCTAGTTCGAATATCAAAATTTACAACATACATTTAACTTCTCCGCCCGAAATATAAAAAAAAACAACTTGCCTTGCTACAACTTGAGATAAACAACCAGGGGCGTACTACAAAGATTTAAAATCGAATTTATATTATTATATAGACATTAAATATAAAACTCTACAGGTTTTATAATTTTATCCTAACTGTACCAAAATGGGCTGAATCCAGTTTTTTTTCAGTAATTTATTCCGTATTTTTACTTCCTCACATTTAAGTCCGCACAACAAGACGCCATTTTCAATAGGTATTTCATTGCCAAACCAAAAAGTAGGTTTTAATTTATAAATCAACCTATGTTGGCCTTTAACCACAACATATTTAATTATACGAAACAGAATCGAATCTAATTTTCTTTTATTTTCTTCGATTTCTGCTATATAATTTGAATGTAAACTTGCACCTAGTAGAATGTAGCCTTATCGACTTATTTAATAGTGAAGAACAGCCGGTGTGCCACTTTAAAAACGTTTGATTTCCCATACTGTACCCGTTGCTTCGTTATATAAAGTCAAATTAGCCTTTTCGGCATCATTAAGTTAGCAAGACAGCAAAATAGATTGGTTTTTCACTACCATCTCAAAAACTTAAAGAGATTAGCTCTGATCCCATAATCTGAACTATTAAACGTTAAATTTAATTCTAGAGTTGGACAATAATGGGCTAATACTAGAACTAACATTTGTTTTAAAAATATCAAAAGTTAATTAGCATTCCTCATCCCAGTATCAAACATTTTATTTTAAAATTTTATATAAACAATGAACAATGTTTGAAAGATTAGGAATGAATACATTATAGTAATATACTTTCCAAAAATGATTTCAGTTGTGTCATATTCGTAGGTTCTGGGATTTCCTTATTAGAACGAATTTTATGTTGACTTTTATCCATGCCCCCTTTATTGATTACTAATTCGAGATACGATTCCTAATCCACGAAAAACATACATTTTTTGTTTCTTCACTGTAAGATCACATTCTTGAAAAATCGGTTAAATGTTTTTATATACACGTAAACAAAGTTTATATTAAGGTTTGTTTGATCGGTACACCAAAACCTAGAGACAGTGTTTTCTCTGTTATTTACCAACAAAATGTCTCGAAATTGGGACACGTTATTCAAAATTATGTTGCCTTTAAACTGATGGTTTTACTTTTACTATTTTTTTGAAAGTCCTTTTGAAATATTGGATTATACTGTTTAACGTTCTATTATAACCAAACTTTTTACGCCCATCACTTGAAAGAGCTTTTTTTTTTCTGTAATCGTTGATTTATTTTTTTCACCTTTTTGTGTCCAGTAATAATCGAGAAAAGCGTGTTCGGAAAATTGCTAAAAAATACTGAAATCTAATAGTGAAACGTTTTACTCATCATGGCACTTAGTCACCGACTTAGTTTCATCTTTATCGCCTTCGTGATGTCAAATCTCATGAACATACGGTCAGTTAGTTCGCTTGAATCATTATCAATTTTCAGTTATTCATTCTTGTATTTCCTTTATCAACTTGCTGAGTGTTTAGAGTTAACAGTATTCTTAGTTATTTTGAAAACATTGAAATTCTTTAGTTTACGGATATGTTGAAGTAATATATTATTAGTTTAGTGGTATAAGTTACAAGTTTTTTAGCTTACGCGTATTTCTAAGCATAAATATAAAAATATTTTTTGTTTAATTTTTACTAGGCTAATATTCAGTTTTTTTTTTACAAATAAATATCTTCTTGAGATCATTTTCAAGCTATAACTGCAAAATTGTTTATTTGTTTGTGACAGCAAATTGTATTTTTTTGATAATAATGTTTTTGTTATTTTAAATTTATTATAAATAAACACCACGATGTTTTTCTTTTTTGTAGTCACGTTTCACAAATTTTTATTCAATAGTATATTTAGCTAAGACATAAGTTAAAAATGAGATAATTCTTTTTAAAACATCTACGATAATCGATCAAAAAAGGTATTCCCGACAAAACTAATTTGTATGGAGAATAATGCATTTGTTATCGTTAAACTACTAGTCGGCCGGCGCCACTGAGTAAACACTTGTACTCGTCGGCTGGCGCGGCGTAAGCAGTATAGAAAAGTAAGTGATACGCCCATTTCAAATCGCAGTGTGCTTTGACTGCTAAAACAGCCTTAATGATTTGTGTCTTATATACTATTCTCCTTATGAAAACACAACGTTTATGATAATATTTTGTGAATTGTAGAAAAGTAATCTTTCATTTGAAGTCTTGAATGGTGGTCTAGTTCCTTTAAATCTGGAATGGATATTAGCATGTGTTAATACGTTATCGAAAAATAATACGACCGTTGGGGAGAATGAAGTTACTTTGAAAAGTAAGTTTAGAATTTAGACATGAGTTACCATATATTCATTTTTTATAAGTACTATTCAATGAATAACCAAGTTTTAAATTAGGAATTAATTATTTAGCTATTTCTTCCTCTTTCTGATTATAGCCAAGTTTCAGTGTTAAATTACTCAAAGAGACAGGAATTTTCTATATAAATAATTGCACATGTTTTTGTTTTCGGCCAATTCTAATCCATAACTGGTTAATACTTTAAATATCAGTTATTATCTTATTTATAAATTAATCAACCTGACCAAACTGCTTCATCCATCAAATATTCTTTCGATTGCTTTATTAAGGAAGTTCTCCTTTTGGAAATGCACATCATTTATGAATACATTCGACGTCACCTTCTATCCAATCCAAATAGTAGCTTTTTATCTTTTTCGTAGACGACTTGTGCTTCTTCTTCCAATTGACAATTTAGTGACTCTGTGGTTCCCATTCCATGAATGCAAGAATAGGACAAGAGCGAGTTTTTATGCCGACTATAGGTAGGCATAGCCTACACAACATCAGTAGCGATAACGGATTACGACTGATAAACTTGGCAGCAGCACTGAATATGACCGTCGCTAGCACCTATTTTGAACATAAGGATATACACAAGGTAACCTGGACCTCCCCTGATGGAAGAACAACTAGTCAGATTGATCACATCTTAATAGATTCAAGACACGGAACGGACATAATGAACTGCAGAAGTTATAGAGGCGCAAACATAGATTCAGACCACTGTTTAGTGATATCAACACTAAGGGCTAGAATTTCAAATTCCAACAAAAAAAAAAAAGAAACGAAACCGCTTAAAAAAGGAACTTCAATATATAGAAAACCTTAACAGAGAAAAAGAATTCAGAACATTCTATAAGAAAGTTAATATCAAAAGAATTCAAGGCAAACACAAATCAATGTAGAAGTTTGAATGGCGATCTATTAACAACAAGAACAGACGTACTAAATCGATGGACGGAATATTTTAACCAAATACTTAATATAGAGGAAGAAGAAAACCAGGAAGACGAAAGCTGTGAGGTAAGCGGAGCAGACGAGAGGGAGGAGAACCCACCAACGATCCTGGAAGTTAAAGACGCTGTCAATAAACTAGCCAGAAACAAATCACCCGGAATCGATAATCTTCCAGCGGAATTATATAAAGAAGGTGGCCACGATATCACAATAGCGCTACAGCAGCTTATAAAAGAAATATGGATAGAGAAGTCCCTCCCCTGTGATTGTAATATTGGAATACTTTGCACCATACACAAAAAGGGAGATATCTTTGAATGCTCTAACTATCGAGGAATTACGCTCCTAAATGCAGCGTATAAAATATTCTCCAATATACCATACCATCGTATGGCACCACATCCAGACCACTGCACTGTATGCATAGTAAATAATAGGACAATACCAGGCTGGTTTCAGAGGTGGTAAATCAACAATTTATCAGATTTCAACCCTGAGACAAATTCTAGAGAAAACACTGGAATATGGTGTAGACACGCACCACATATTTATAGACTACAAGGCAGCCTACGACTCTGTAAATAGAAGAGAATTGTTTAGAGCAATGATAGACCTGGGAGTACCAAATCAGTTGGTAAGTTTAATCAAACTAACCCTTAAAAAAGTTGAATGCAGAGTACGAATCCAGGGGAACTCTCTGAACCTTTTAATACAAATAACGGACTACGTCAGGGAGACCCACTCTCCTGTATACTATTCAATCTAGCTCTGGAAAAAGTAATACGTACGTCACAAGTCACAACTACCGGTTCAATATATAACAAATCTGTGCAAATCCTAGCATATGCTGATGATATCAATATTGTTGGGAGAACGGAAAACGCAGCACGAGAGGCGTATGTAGCACTAAAGGAAGTGGCTACAAAAATGGGTTTAATAATAAACATTAATAAAACAAAATACATGAAAGTAGGTCCGCAACCACAAATACGACGGAAACTTGTTATAGAAAACGACGTCATCGAAGCAGTTAACGAATTTGTATACCTGGAAACGCTCGTCAATACTGAAAATGACATTACCGCAGAGATATACCGCAGAATTTGCACGGCTAATAGATGCTATTTTGGGCTTAATCTCCTTTTTAAATCTACAGCTATATCAAGAAATACAAAAGTAAAACTGTACAAAACAATAATACGCCCAGTCCTAACATATGGTTCAGAAACCTGGACTTTAACAAAAAGCAATGAAAACATGTTAGGATGTTTCGAAAGAAAAATACTGAGGCGAATCTATGGAGCGGTAAATGAAAATGGTGTCTGGGGAAGACGATACAACTTCGAACTCTATAGAATATACCAGGAACCAGATATCGTAAAACACATTAAGATAGGACGTCTGAGGTGGGTAGATCATGTAATGCGGATGGAGCAAACCGACCCAGCTAGAAAGTCGCTCCTTGATAGACCTATTGGTCAAAGAAAAAGAGGAAGACCCAGAACAAGATTCCTAGATAACATAGACCAAGATATGAGAAATATGGAAATACGTGCTTGGCGGAGGAAGGCGATGGATAGGGACGACTGGAAGAGAATTCTTGGGGAGGCTAGGTACTTTTGTAAAGCCAAAATGATGATGATGACTGTTGTTCCCATTTGGTAACCTTTTTTTGTTTTTCTTGTTATTATCTCGTCAAAAATTAATTTATATATAACTGGGCTCAATGAATCTACTTATCTAATTCCAGTTGTATTGTCTACCTGTTTTGGGGAAAAACTGTACTGTTTTGGGGATGTATTAAGATGGGAGAAAAAACACCTTTGCATCCCTTACGGCAAAGTTTAACGGATCGCCGGTATGTCGATTTAGTACTAGAACCCATAGTTAGGCTGTGGCGAGGTGCAGTGGGAAATATTTTCATTTTCATGTACGATAATGCCCCTCCACATACCAGCAAAGTTGCCACAGACTTTCTGGAAACTAAAGATGTCACTGTTCTGAGGTGGCCTGCCTGCTCAGCTGATATTAATCCCATTGAGCATGTGTGGAACCTCATTAAAAGAAGGATTAGAGCTCGAAGGGATAATCCAGGTAATGCGGATCAGCTCATTCAAGCCGCTCTAGAAGACTGGGTAAACTTACCTTAAGAACAAGTTGACGATTTCATTAGAAGAATTCCCCGTAAGATTGAAGCTTGTATTAGAGCTAGAGGTGGCAACGCTGACTATTAAAATGAACAACAAGACTGTATCTTTCTTTAGTTAACCATTGCAATGTTTTTATTTGTTTGTGTTTTTTTTTGCGTTTTTGTTAATTTCAAGTATTTGTAACATTTTTTGATTGTTTTTTTTTTATAGTAATTAAACTGGTAATAAAATGGCTAATAAAATGTAGTTTATTTTCCATTAAAAAAATTAATAATAACTTTAGAAAATCGGAAATACTTAGTGATTCCATATAGGTTTGGTTGTGTGTATTTATAATATCCAAGGATATTTTTCTGCTATGCTATTATAGCAGGTGTATTTCATTCGATAGTCTTGCTTAAAAAAAGGTCTTTTAAAGTCTACAAAACGTAAGTAGGCTAGTGTGTTGTATTCTTTAGATTTCTCTTTTATTTGCCTGACTACGAAAACTATATCGTTACATGATTTTCTGC